TTGAACTACAACTCCCATCATCCCTGACTAGCAAGACCAGTGGCAAGGGATGATGGGAATTGTAGTCCAAAAACAGCTGGATGCCCAAGGTTGGGAAACACTGGCCTAGAGGACCACAGATTCCCCATTAGGAGTGCTACATCTGGATTTATAGGCACTTTGTTGGTGAGCTGAAAACAGAGTCCCCAGATTGTCTCAGTTTATAGTGCAATTCTGTAAATCTCCCTGTGCTCAACAGAGCTTCCTCCCTATGTTAGCATTGCACTCCTGGAGACATTTTGGACATATGTAGGATTCACAGTACTTAGCTTGGGAAAGGGAGAAAGGGAGTAGCACTAACAAAAGTGCAGAGTGGAGAATGAGAAAGGGAAGAATCAGACTGCAGTCTGATTCTTGAAAGAAACATTGTGCTTTAAAAAAAAATTAAACCAGTGATGTTGCTTGCGGGCAAAGGGTTTTACTATGTTGCATTCAGTGGTGTCTTGAACTAAGACAACTGAAGATCCTTTGTCCCTTGTGAAGACAGGCCACTGATCAAAGCAACAGGGTGTAAACTTTACAGAACTAGCATATTCCAAGCATCTGGATGAGGTCTGGCTCTGCCTATACCTTTTTTAAATTGTTGTTGATATAAGATGTGTTTGTGCAGCACACCTGATCTTCACAATATTCCCGTGCACAGGGGCTGCAGCCAAAGATGCTGTAGGGCTAGCATGGGCTGCACATTTGCACCACAACTTTCTGATGTCTATGCTAGGGTGTTCCAGTGGGGAAGGCACACATGTTTTGGGGAGTGTCTGCCTGAGTGTTACAAACAGGAGTGCGACTCACGCAAGAACACAAACACTTCCAGTGTGGAATCTGCATATCTTTCAATATCTTGTGTTGAATCCAAAGTTGGATGAGCAGACCACTCAAGCAATGGCTCTTTCCTGCCACTTCCTCAACCTTTCACCTTGCAAAAAGCCTCAGTGGACAATTGGGGGACCTGACCTTCCTGATACACTAGAGCAGTGTTCCCCAACCTTGGGCCTCCAGCTGTTTTTGGACTACAACTCCCATCATCCCTCGCTAGCAAGACCAGTGGTCAAGGATGATGGGAATTGTAGTCCAAAAACAGCTGGAGGCCCAAGGTTGGGGAACACTGCACTAGAGGACTGCAGTGGGAGGAGAGAATGGTTAAAAGTCTCACATGAGTGGAAAAAGTCACCCTTCCATAGCAGTCACTTCCACTGCAGCCCATGCTATTCAGGATGGTCCCCCAACCCTATGGTGAGGCTTTTGGTTGGATATAATAAAGGACAGGAAAGACCCATAGTTGTCTTCTGCTGTCTGTCTTTGGGTCTACCTTCAATATAATGATATGTCAATGAGCCTGTGCTTATAATTATACTGATACGTTTTCCAATTCATTTCCGCTTGTATGCTATGAAATGCTAGAGCTGTTTAGCAAAATGGCAGAAAGGTTTGACGACATGGTCTCTGTACATAAGGATTTTTACCATAATAAATTGCTGTGTTAATGCAGAAAACTAACTAGGCTGACTTGCTGGAATTTCCTCCTACCAAATACAAGGCCTTTCTAGTACAGTGGTACCTCGCAAGACGGATGCCTCGCAAGACAAAAAACTCGCTAGATGAAAGGGTTTTTTGTTTTTTGAGCTGCTTCGCAAGACGATTTTCCCTATGGGCTTGCTTCGCAAGACGGAAACGTCTTGCAAGTTTGTTTCCTTTTTCTTAACACCATTAATACAGTTGCGACTTGACCTCGAGGAGCAACTCATAGAACGCGGTGTGGTAGCCTTTTTTGAGGTTTTTGAAGACTTTGGTGATTTTTGAAGCTTTTCCAAAACTTTCCCGACACCGTGCGAAAAAAATCGCAAGACGACAAAACTCGCGGAACGAATTAATTTTGTCTTGCGAGGCACCACTGTAGTTATAATTTTTGAAGGTCAGAATATGGGGCCACAATTCATCCACTGTGTGAAGCTTTATTATGTAGTGTTTTAAACTTTCCCATCTTGGCTTTGTTGAGAGCAGACACAAATCAGAGAAGTTGTAGTCCAAACTTTATTAGGACAAAACAAAGCATAGTTTTGAAACTTCTTTAAAAGAGAACATGCATCTTCCCACCCTCCTTCTTGAAATATGGAGAAATCAGGGGCCATAATGGAAGCAAATGTTAATTAAGCACAGGATTTTGTTTCTCATCCACCCTTCTATCATAAATACATCATTGCCCTTGTTCTCTCTGCCCAATATAAGGTGATGGGATGCAACATTAATTCAGTAAACACATTTTTTTTGAAAGGGCGGCAGAACACATTACTATTTAGAAACTAGATCCTCCTGAAAGAGGATGACAAAAATTCCCATATCTGAGTTTTGTGATAAACAAACTGATCCCCCTTACTCCTGGGTGTCGTCTGAGCAGTTTACAAGGTTAGAGGTGTTTGCTATCTTGAGCATATAGTCTAAACTGTAAGGTGTGGGATGGAACTGAGTATTTTTCTAGCTTCTTTAAGAACAAGTGTCAGCCATGCTTGACACTCCATCAGTAGATAATATTCCCACTCTTAAGAGGTCACGTGAGGGCAAAGTTGAAGTGAACTTGCAAGACAGTGAAGGCTTTGCATGAGTGAATCATGTTTATAGGTCTTGTGAGGCTCCTCAGGGGCCTTTGGTGTCCCAAGTGTATGAAACTGGTCCTGGTCACTCATGGAGCATGAAGACTAGACACAACCACTCCAGGAAACCTAGGAGAAGCTATAAGGAAACATATTGTTCTAATTAACTCATGAGAAGTTAATTTCCTGTAGCTCTGATTTGACTTTCATCAGTGCTAAAGGCTCTAGAAATTGCTTGGGCCCGATTCCTGACCGCTGCACCTGTAAGGTGGGTGCCTCATGATTCCCTTGCCCTCCTTCTCCAGCTGCCAAAACTATGTGGCTTTTCTAGTTCTCATCTGCTTCTGCCAGTGCTTCCTGCTCAGCTAATTGAGTTCAGAAATGGTTTAGAGCTCTCTAGAAATGATGCTGAAATTCTGGTGGCCATGTATCCTACTTCACTGAGAATAGTCATCTGTATGAAGGTCTGCCAGAGGACAACCTTCTGTTTGAAGGCCTGTCTGGTCCAAGCAGTGGAGGTTGGTTCATTAGGGCAAATGGGGCTAGCCTTCTTACTTATATCCAGTCCAGGGGGCGACCCTTCCTGTCAGCTTCTTTCGTCTTAGGCTCAGTGTTGCCCTTGTAGAACTCAGCAGGGAGGAGCATGGGGACAAGACTAGAATTAGTTGACTCTGCCTGTCATTGGCTCTGGCTCCACCTACTGAGGGGCTCCCTGCCTTCACCCTACCATTTCCAATGTTGACCCACCACCACTGGATCCAGGTCCAGTTTAAAGCTAAAAAACCAAAAAAAAGGGAGAGCAGGTGCCCTGAAGGTGGCTGTGATAGTTAACATTTGAACAGAAAACCGAGCAGGCACACAGACTTCCCCACTAAGGTGAGATGTAGCTCTGGTCCACACTTCTGTTTGTCCTGCCACTTTCCCCCAGGGAAACCTGCTGTTTACCGCTGAATAAGAGCAAACATCAATTGGGTTTTCTGCAGATTGATGTTTGCTCCAATTCAGTGGTGAAGAGCGGGTTTTCTCGGGGCAAACGGAAAATTGCTTGGACTAGTGTCTAGAGAGCATGAGAAAACCTCTTGGACCTGTGCTTCCTAGGCATGGGACAAGCAGAAGTGTGGATGAACCCAAAGTGTACTACTACCAATTAAAGGAATCAGTTCTAAATTTGCATCTCTCTATAAATTAACATACACAAATTTTACGCGAATTCACATCCTCTTGGCTCCTGTTTCTTGGTGAAACATTTCCTCTCCTTTGTGCATACAAGAGGCCATTCTAGTTGGAATGGTCCTCTTAACCCTTGCATTCTCTACTTTGGATCCTGAGTGTATTCTTGCCTGATCATTTTTCTAAAAAAAACAAACAAACACACACATCACCGCTAAATTTAAAAGTAAGAATGGATTAAAAAGAGTACAAAATTTTAAAAACTACAAAATATGAATGTGCATCCCCACACTGGGTTGCTTCTCATTAAAGTATTATTTCTCATTATTAGAAATAAAGCATTATTTCTTCATGTTTCTCATTGAAGTATTATTTTCCATGGGAAATATTGTTTCCATTGAGTAAATATTTCTGTTGAAACAACTCTAATAAGTCTATTCAGTTACTGTCATACAGAGCTAGTCTTTATCTAGGAGGCTATTCAAATTCTAAAGTAGTTATATACAGACATATCAAAAATTCAAGTAGAATTCATTGCACATTTACTTGGCATAAGTAGGGCAAGCTGGAATAGTATGTGGGGTCCAGTGGAAAGATGAGAAGGAAAGACCACTTTATTTTTCACTTTTCCAGGAAAAGGGAAGCTGCCCCATGGTGTGCTTGCAAAATGTCTGAAAATGATGCTAGAAGGGAAGTGGAGAAGTGGAAGAGCAGAAGCCCATAGTCATCAGGTCAGTGCTGCATATAAGAAACCAGCCTCATCTGGGAAGTAAAAGTTTAGCTCAGCAAGTCAGTGTCTCTGCTTTATTTGAGAGGAGAGAAATAGTGGATGTCACAATCAATGGCACCTCCCTATTAAATAGCAGAGTGTTAGGGTCTGCTAGTTTAGGGATTTGTCCAAAATAGCAACTGAAGCCACTGCAAATTGAAACCATCATAAATCCAATCAAGAAATCCAGGGATTTATAGTGATATAGGGATTTATGAAAGGGCTTGGGACTTCCACTAAAAATGTCACCTTCTCTGTAGTGGCACCTGCCCTGTGGAACGCCCTCCCATCAGATGTCGAGGAAATAAACAACTATCTGACTTCTAGAAGACATCTGAAGGCAGCCCTGTTTAGGTAAGCCCTGTTTGAAGTTTTATTCCGTTTTTAGTGTTCTGTTGGGAGCCGCCCAGAGTGGCTGGCGAAACCTAGCCAGATGGGCAGGGTATAAATAATAAAATTATTATTTTTATTATTATCACTCCTGCATTCTTTGGAAAAATCAGAATGAATATACTGGTTTAAGCGTAGAGTGAGATCCACTCAAAGTATACATTAGCTTCAGTCCTTTCTCTAGTAACCAAAGCTTATTTTAGTATTTGTTTTGAAATAGTTCACTCTCCTTTATGACTGTATGTTAACAAACTCAAATAATGAAATAAGCTTTGACATAAACTTTTTGCAATATGCCAGGCCATTCACTTAATGAGTTGAACTGGCTGATTGGACCCCAGACTGCCAGGGTTTCAAAATCTACACTGCAAGTTTTTGTCACATCAGAGAGTCTTCCCTTCAGAACACAATTCACACGGACAGGTCATCAGAGCGAGCTTTACTGCTGGCGCGGCTGGTTTTGCTGAGCCTACGTTTGTCATGGAAGTAGCCATTGGGAACCAGGTTGGGTGTGGAGCTATTGGCGGCCTCCGAAGCCTGAGAATAGTTAACTTGGATAAATGGCGCTTCCCTGTCTGCGTCGTCTTGGTTGTGAACCCTCTCCGTTGCAAAATTGGCAGTGTTCTGCTGAGAGGCCATTTTGTTGCTAAAGGGACTGATAAATTTTCCACCAGGGTTGGCCAAACACTGATTAAAATCTGGAGGAGGGGTACAGCTTTGGATCATCTTTGCTTGGGGGTCTGTTTCCAGTTTGCTGGCGACTGGGCTGGGGCTGCGTTTGTAAGAAGGGGAGAACTTCTGCTTGGCTTTCTTCCATCCCAAGTGATATAGTTCAGCCAGGCTTAAGAACAGGGAGAGTGCTGCTACGGCCAGCATGAAAATGATAAAGATGTTCTTCTCAGTTGGCCGAGAGACGTAGCAGTTGACTGGATGGGGGCAAGGCTTCCGTTGACAGATATAGAGCGTCTCAAGGAAGATTCCATACAGCATGTACTGCCCAATGATGAATGCTACCTCCATGGTGGTACGGATTAAAATGCTGCAGACGTAGGTGTTCAACAAAGTGCCTTGAAGAATGATCCTCCCACTTGGCTCATCCCAGCAGGACAGCTCCGCCTTCTCGGGCGCTTGGTACTCCTGCTGGTGGAAAGAATCTCCCTTGCTCTGAATTGCTGTCGCCGCTTCTTTGGCCTCCTTTAGCTTCCTCTTCTCCTCCATGCGCACTGTGTGCATTGCATGTCCCATGTACAGCAGGGAAGGGGTGGAGACAAAGATGATCTGAAGGACCCAGTACCTGATGTGGGAGATGGGGAAAGCTTTGTCGTAGCAGACGTTCTCGCAACCCGGTTGCCGGGTGTCACACATGAAGTCGGACTGTTCATCTCCCCACGAAGACTCTGCGGCTGTGCCCAGGACAAGCATCCGGAAGATAAAGAGCACGGTCAGCCAGACTTTCCCCACCACTGTGGAATGCTTGTGGACTTCCTCCAGGAATTCTCCTAGGAAGCTCCAGTCACCCATTTTGGCTCAGCAGAGAGACTGGTCTCTGAGGGAGAGAGAGAGGAGAGAGAGAGTGTGTGTGTCTTGCTGAAATAATCTTATTTATGCATAAAAGTACTTCTGTACTTCCATATCATCTCATATCAGGGCAGTGTACAATGTTATAACATATAACACCATTTTTAAAAATGCAAATGCAATGGAAGAGAAATAATTGCCAATAAATAGTACTTCCTTTGTAGATAGAGTGGCATCTGAAAGGCTCCAAAACTGCCACAAAAGCAACTGTGGAAGCAGATAAAGGCAACTTTTTTTTTTTTGTAGATAAAGCATTATACCACTTCATTATAGTACAGTGGTACCTCGGGTTACATACGCTTCAGGTTATGGACTCCGCTAATGCAGAAATAGTACCTCAGGTTAAGAACTTCACTTCAGGATGAGAACAGAAATCATGCTCTGGCGGTGCGGCAGCAGCAGGAGGCCCCATTAGCTAAAGTGGTGCTTCAGGTTAAGAATGGACCTCCGGAACGAATTAAGTACTTAACCCAAGGTACCACTGTACTATACTGAAGTAGGATGACTAAGTCAAAGTACTTCTGGAAAGTTGAAAAATGTGTCACTTGGTCTCAGCATCACCAATTCATATTTTGCCCCACTGTGTTGTTTTAGTTGTTTAATCTAGCAAAGAAATTGATTAACAATATCATAATCCTAAACACGTCTACTTAGAAACAAGTCACATTGAATCCAGGAGGGAGTACTCCCCCAAAAAAGTAGGCAGTGGATTGCAGCCTAAAGCTTGCAGTTCTGCTTCTTTTATACATCAAAGCACCTCTGTAAGCATATCACAAGTACTCTCAGCCACCTTGCATGGGACCACTCGTGCCTAAGTCTTTGGTCATACATCCATGCCTGTCTACCATGAACTCACTGTGTGATGACCTCATTTAACCTAGTAGCCAAACTCTCCAGTGTTTCCATTCACCACGCCTCTACTTGCGTATCTATTTCCCTTCCTCAAAACAGTCCCATTGTAAGTTGGGCAGCAGAACACAACTTTGAGTGAGCGAATGCTGTTCATTTGAGAGCGGGCGTCTACACATCTGGATGTTGCGGTCGACATCCCTATGGCACTGTTTCTTTGAGATCACCCAGCTATAAAAACCTTTTGTTACTTTCTTTCAGAGGAGGGAAGTTTTCCCTTCCTTGTTTTCATGGCCATAACTTCCTTTTGCTTGTGGTATCACATGCACTGAATGAGAGGGAAGACAGAGACACCGTACTCTATTACTCTTTGCTCCAGACAAAGCAGCGTCCTTGACAAGCAAAGAATAGCGAAGCAGTTTAAAGAACTCCCTTTTACGAGGTGGGCAGACCATTCCACCCATGTAAGCTTCTGCTTCAGAGAACTCTCTTTGTATGAACTTCTGTTATTTGCTGCGGGGAGGCCAAGAATCCTTCACTTAAAACACACACACACACACAGAAAGCTTGGAGGCCTAGCTAAAATTGGATCTGCAGGGATATAAATAGCAGACCTCAACAGCTAGCACTATGTTTTCCCACAAGAAAGGTGACCAAAGACTGTTAGCCCTGCAGAAGAGGGTTAGTGATTAAATGTATTTTTTAAAATGCATGGCCGTTTCCCTACCATATGGTACATGGAAGTCTGTTGGCTGGTGCAAATTTGAATGAAAATCTGTATGGCCAATATAAGTTTGGGAAACTTGACTTTTGGACCCTTTCCACATAGACCCTTTCCACATAGATCTCTACTAGGAAATGAAATCCCCTTGCAATGGGGAAAAGGGCCTATATGAGTCTGCCTTCAGGGCCTTCTCTGTAAAATGCTTCTTGTGATGGGTGCTGAACTTGTGATGGGTGAAATTAAGATATTACAATATTCACTGCACAAAAGGAATGCTCGAAGCTAAGCCCATCTAGTATGGATATTCTTTAACAAGGATGTCTGTTCAAAAGGAAAACATTGATGCCGTTTGCTTTTGGTGCCTTTTAGATGTTATAGCAGTGGCTTTGGAATAGTTTTTCCGTAGCTTCATCCCATGGTGTGGTTGTAACATTTAACGGTATGGCACGGTGCAATCGGGGCCAATTGTGTTGGTTCCTGATTCTGGTTCAGCTACGATCATACATGAAGGACTTGCACAAATGGCCTACCTATGCAGTTCTGAGCTTTTAAACATTATGACAACCATTCTCATCCTTTGGTCCACATATGTTGTTGGACTACAACTCCCATCATCCCTAGCTAGCAGGACCAGCGGGAAGGGATGATGGGACTTGTAGTCCAACAACATATGGGGACCCAAGGCTGAAAAAGGCTGCATTATCGCCACACTGTGGGATGAACCTCATGGAAGAATAATTTCATATTTGAAGTTGACCACTGAAAGGGCTCTTACTGTGTTGGCACCCATGCTAGAAATTTATCCCAAGGCAACTTTGCCTAGTGCCTTTAAACTTTGAAGTATCAAGAAAAGGTTTCTCCAGTGTGAGATTGTTTTTGTAAGTGCCTTGAGAGCTTCTGCCCCAAAGTGGGACATAAATCTCTCAAATAGACACATACATTTTAATTAAAATAAAAAGTGAATCTCAGGGATGACTTACAGCAGGGCAATCTAAAATCAATGCAGCATTCAACATTATGTTGCTGCTTTTTAAAACTGTACCAAATAAACGAGATACTTAACAATAATCAATCTAGAACTCACACTACAAAGGGAGAGGGGAAGAAGAGGCTAGTTGTCTCTGAGATGCTCTGAAATTTCAGAGAGTCTTCTGACTCATCATTAAAGTGCTGTAAGAGTCTCTGTTGTTTTGCTACACATTGCTCTCTGAAACCACAGAGATTATTGTAAAACAATTGAATTGGAAAGTATACTCCAAAAGCTTCCCTCCATGTTTATGAATGCTGTGAATATACTGAGCTGAAGGACTGCAAGCAAAGGATAATGCTAAGTGGCGTTATCATACCTTGGGTGTGAGTGTGCTGAATGCTGCTGCACAGATGGGCGTTTTACTTCGTATCTTTATCAGCGAGTTCAAAGCTGGCTGAACTGGCATGTAACAAAGCATGTAAATCTTATGTCTGGTACTAAATTGGGAGGTGTTGGATATGCCAGCGAGGACAGCCAAATAATACGGATGAACCCAGGAAGATTAAGAAATACTATATTGACATAGTCTGAGTGCGGTGAAAAGAGAAGACTACAGCTTCATTTTTGAGGCTGTATTGTGGTGCAGTCAGTAAAAGGGAGATTGCTTTTATTTGTTTATTTAAGGAGACGCAGGGAACAACATGGATAAATGCCTCGTAGCAAAAACTTAGCATGATACTGGTCTAAAGAAGGACATCATACAGCTTTCTCAGCATTATATGGAACATCTGAATTTTGCACAGATGCATCACAAGCTGTATTTCTTGAATTCCATGGGGCTTGGCTCCACTGTTTACTCTACCCCCTTCCAGTCTCTTTTCATGTACGTGTGTGTATGTGTGTATGAGAGAGAATATCTAACTGCGGGTAACACTCCATGCATCACAGTGGGCTTTAGTTCACAAAAGCTTCTGCCATAACTTCTGTGTGACTTTTTAAGGCACCATGTGTTCGCTGGCTTGCTGAATCAATGGTTTTTAGTTTATCTTTTTTACTAGAACCTCAAGATTCATCAATTGGAGCTTGTGGTTTGGGTGCAAAACAGTGGCTCAAGAGGCCAGGTAAATTACCTATGAGTGCAATGGCCTGTATATACGTAAGTACAAATCTAGTTCACTACAGATCAGGGATTCTAACTACCTAATTTAGGGTGGGGTAGGTAAGGTATTGTAACTTGTGACTGGGAGACAGGAAATCCTTACATTGCAAATTATCCAGCAATCTACCACACCTGTTCTAGTAGACAAATGGACAGATGTTTCTTACTGACATGTGACAATATGTCCACATTCTAACCTACATACAAATTAGCTAGAAAGGGGAAACATAACATAATCCAGAGGGGGCTGGGTTTTTAATTTTTATGGGAGCAAATTAATCAAACACATTTTTGAGCAGTTTTGTTTTTTCAGTAGATATTCACTCAATATTTAAATATCGGGGCTTTTTATTTTTTAAAGTCTCCTTTGAAAAGGAGGGGAAATCAATTTACTACTTTTTCTTTTTCTTTTTGGTTCTCTGATGAGATCTTTTGGTCTGTTCTTGATCCCCACTGCTCCCGTAACGGCTCATCCGTTCTATTTCTTTCAAGTGCCGTGATGACACAAAGGAGACAAGGACAGTGGAGGAGGGTATGTGAAATCAGCCTACAGGCCAAAGAGAAAGGAGCTGGAAGAGGAATGATTGCCTATGCTGCTATGCTTCAGATTCCTTCTAACCGAGTACTGACATTCCCAAGGGCAAAGTACAGGGATAAAATAAAATGTATGTGATAAAAATAATGCATAACTTGCTTGCAACAGTGAGAATACTTTGCATAGTTCCCAAGAGACTGTGGATTCAGAATCTCACCATTCTGAACTCTGAACCCTTAGGAATTGTCTCACCATTGGAAAATCCAGAGAGAAGACACAGGGGCAGCTGAGACTGTTCAGTTTGGTGTCTGATTGGTTTTATATATAGTGCATCACCCAGAATTTGCTAATATAGGGACTGCTACAAAGAGGAGCCATGTAATATTATTTGTGCTAGAACCATAAGCAAGGAAAGAAACAACTATCTGATTTTTCAAAGACATCTGAAAGCAGCCCTCTATAGGGAAGTTTAAAACGTTTGATGTCTTACTGTGTTTTAATTTGTTGGAAGCTGTCTCGAGTGACTGGGGTAACCCTGCCAGATGGGCTGCATCACCACCACCACCATATCTGGACAGGCAAACATACTCCTCTGCTGCTGCAGCCTCTGGTGCAACGTAAAATGTTGAGTACCAAGCATGAAATAGCCTGATCAAGCATGTGCAGTTGAGAGCCAGTGTGGTGTAGTGGTTAGAGTGCTGGACTAGGACCTGGGAGACCAGGGTTCGAATCCCCACTCAGCCATGAAACTCACTGGGTGACTTTGGGCCAGCCGCTCAATCTCAGCCTAATCTACCTCACAGGGTTGTTGTGAGGAGAAAATGAGGAGGAGAAGTATGCAGGCCACCTTGAGCTCCAAGGAGGGAAGGTGGAGTATAAATGTAATAATAAACAAACATGCAAACAAACACCTCCCATGTGCTGGTTAGGGTTTTGTACAAAGGCTGAGGGGAAAGAGTTCAAATACTCAATGCCATACAGCAGTTGTGACCCTACCACTACCTAATGTACCTCACAGAACAATTCTAGTACTTGTGGTCTGTTAACTGGAATGAAATTGGACACATTCCAAGTGAAAGCACAAGTTTGTGATGATAGTATTTGGGGATCAGTCCTGATGGAATGGTACTTTTTATTTTCCCTTACTGAACAGCTGAGGGTAAAGAGGGCCTCGATTTTTCCAGAGACCTAACATACATGGACTGACATGCAAATATCTACACATAGATACATTAAATAGGAGTGGGATAATACATCACACACACTCACAAACCAGATATCTAGTTTCACATGGGGCATGCACTACATAATCATCATATGTAGTGATGATTGGCAGAGATATTGGCAGTGATGATTGGCAGAGATATTGAGGAATTCCAAACAAAAAATAAATTAAAAAGTGGGAAATCAAAAGAGCTGTTTCAGCTGAATTCAGATCATGGGCAAGTTGGCTGGTTTTGCACAGCTTGCCTCTAGTAATAACCACTTCAAAAGAATAACAATGCAATTGTACTTGGTGGTCTAACACAGCTTGGTCCAAGAGCATTTGGTTTCTCTGGTCTATTCATCTTCCCATAACACCCTGACTGTGATGAGGCCAGCTCCAGCATTCTTATAACTTAAGTAAAGAAGAAACTTCTGTTAGCAAGACCACTCATCTGTCTCTAACCATAGGTAGCCCTTGATCTCTAATTCTATGTACAGGTTCTTCTAAGTCCCATTAAATAAAGTAGGACATAGTCTCAAGTCAAAATGCCTCAGAACAGTCTGTTGGTTTCTAGAGGTTATGGCAATTAGAAGAAAGCTCTTGTCCTGTCTTCTACTTCCAAATCATGTGACTTTTTTTTTTTGGTTCCCCTCCCTAAAATTAGTGTATTGTCAGACTTCATCACCCCCACTAAAATATACTTTTTATATAATATTTTTATTAGTTTTCAATTACAGTCCAATAATAGCCTCATTATTTTTTAAAAAACCCAATTTATAATGCAATTGTTAATATCAAATCGTTCAAATACTGAATTATATAATTTAGCTAAAGAGCCACCCCCCCCGCAAGCTAGATTTGATGGTTTGATGATTTTCATTACTCCTGCTTTCCAAAATCTTATTAATTTCAATTCCATCTGTAATCATTTTATTCACTTCATAAATAATAAAGGATGGGGACGAGTCAGCTCTAAGTCTTCATAATAAATCTTTTGCAAAATAGAGCTTCCCTTCCTTTTTCCTTTTTCAACACACACAATTCCGTTTGATGCTATAGTCCATATTTATAATCCAATTTATTCCATACTTGCTTGTATAAATATAATTTGAACTAACATTCAGAGGACGGTTGCCGAATCATAAATTTAGAGAAGAAAACTTTAAATAAAGAAACCGTAGGTTCCCCTCCCCCCACCGTCTTTTGCACCATATGAAGTCTTATCTCAAGTTCACACCTTAAAGTCCTTGCAGTTGGTTTGTTCCACAGTTTGTGATCTCATCTCTTCTAGCATGCACCTGTACTTTAGTCCAATTAAGCTCTAATTAACAGGCAAACCTCTGTTTCTTAATGGTGGCGCTGGAGGGTTTTTGCCAGGCAAAGTGCTTTTATACTCAGCGCCTCCCTGCCCCCCACATTCCATGCCAGAGCGAGAGCCAGGTTCGGTACCAAGACAAACTGCAAGTGAAGCCCATTCCCCCCTTTCCTTGGGGGGAATTTGCAAGGATAATTACCCTCAATCATCCTTGTTTTTCCTTCGTCAACAATCTCCTGCTGTCTTGGAGGCTGCCTCTGTTAAGTCAGAACAGACCTGGAAGCCACCCCTAAAATATTCTTATTTAGATCAGGCTGTTTAGCAGCACACTTACCTGGGAGTAAGCTCCAATTAATGCAAGGGAACTGCTTCTGAGTAGAGTATGTATAAGATAGTGCTGTCAGTTTTACTATGCATGTAATGAAGAGCAAATATTCTACAAAATGCGCACATACAAAAAAGAAACAATGTAAAGCTTCCAACTAAATCTAGCAAGAAGAATCCAGCCATATGACAGCAAAGTTCATCTCTAGTGGTTATAGGTTTCTGCAGTTATCAGATAGCCTTCTCAGCAACAAGAATCCGTTTAAATTAAATAACGTCAAACTCTCTCTAGACATTAAAGCTTTCTTTGGTTATCAGATATCAGTGTTATATGAAAAAGCTGAACAGGAAAGCATAAACGGCTTACTGTTTAGGAGGGAATAAAAACTAACAAGGACAGCATTCATAAGGACGTGAACTTTCTCACATTAGATGGACACTATTAAACAAGGAAAAATACTCCAAAAGTATATAAATAACCCAGCACATGTCGTCCTTTTTCTGTAAACAGAGAGAAGGTGGCTGCCTCACATCAGATTTCTGATGGTTCTTACTATTGCTTGTTTTAAATTTAAAGAAAACCAGTTCCAAATTCTTACTCCCTGAGCTTCCCGCAGTTTGTCACATTGACCATTTTACTCACCTGAATGGCCTCTTGCCTTTAAACGACTCGTTGTTCGGTTACTTCGTGTAGAGTCTTACCATGGACTTTTGAACCATCTTCCCACCGCTTTTTCTTTCCTCCTTTCCTTCACCTGTGGTTTCTCACACCCCCTTTGTATCTCCTTCCTCTATGTATACCCGCTTCCCTCCTCACCCTTTGTCTTTCTCACCCCTCCCCTAGTCACTGTTCTAGAAAAAGGAGTCATTTTATAGGTTTCCTCCACCCTTTGTCCACTTTCCTCCGAGGTCTTCCCCTTGTCTCTGCAGGCCTGCGATGCTGACTCTTGCTCTTCTCACTTGTCAGGAGAGACGAGCGCTGCACACCAAGCGCTCTTCAAATAACAGGTCACTATCAAGCTTTCCTTGAAAGTCAGGAACAGTGATGCCCCTTCTGCAACTAGAGCTCTCTGAAGGCAGTTCTACCCGTTCAAGAAGGGAAAGGGTTAGGGTTGAGGGGCGGAGGCAAGCTGTCCCTTGTTGATTCTGGAAAGCGCAACCAATCAAAGCATAATTCCTAATGTTCTGAGATTCCCTTATTCTGACAAGAATACTTTCCAGCAAGCCTGGTTGGCGGGGGGGGGGGGGAAGCAGAGGAAATACGCATGCACATAAATCAACATTTGTGCATGGGTCAAAAGTTAAAAATAGAAGGAGCGGGTTCTGGACCGTGTTTGCAACACGAACAGCCTATTGAGAAGAACGTAGAGAGTGACCCAGCATCAATATCAAATCTTCAGAGGAGAGCAAGAGCTTTGCTACAGGTGATAGTGCCAACTGAGGGATGTTACCTGTAGTAAACAGGTTTTACTTCGGCTTGGTGTGTGCTAGGAAGAGTGAACCACCCCTCAGTGTGTGGCATGCCCTCCATTTTGGATGAAATATTGTCCTTTGTTGACTTTGAGACTCCCATCCTGTCCTCTTTTTCAGTTCTGTCTGTCAAATTTTCAAATGGTGAGATATTCCCCACAGGGTGGGAAATGTGAGGAGTATGTCTGAAGTTATTCTCAAATGTGTGGCTTCTAATAAAACATACAGTGGTACCTCAGGTTAAGTACTTAATTTGTTCCAGAGGTCCGTTCTTAACCTGAAACTGTTCTTAACCTGAAGCACTCCTGCTGCTGCTGTGCTGCCGGAGCACGATTTCTGTTCTCATCCTGAAGCAAAGTTCTTAACCTGAAGCACTATTTCTGGGTTAGTGGAGTCTGTAACCTGAAGCGTATGTAACCCGAGGTACCACTGTACATTGTTCTGCTATTATGAGAGTTATGTTCTCTGCCTAAAATGAGAAGGCAGCCAGAGGAGATCGTCACAGCAGCCATGAAATCCTGAGCCACCCCAGAGCCAGTCGCCTCAGTGTGGATGTTGAAGTCCCCTAGAACCAGCAGTCTGGGAGTCCTCAACATTGCCTCCGAGACCGCAGTGAAGTGGGTGGTAAACCAGCAGAATCCCTAATCTGTCCCGATTGCACAACACCAGAAACACACACTCTAGATACCTCCCCCACCTGACTGGATAGAGAGCCTGGAGAGACAGAGAGAATTTCTATAGACCACAGCAACTTCCCCTCTCTGACCCTCAAGTCTGGCCTGATGCTGTACCATGTACACAGGTGGGCACAGCTGAGTGGGACCAACTCTTCATCCACCCAGGTCTCGGTGATACAAGCAAGATTGGCCTCCTCATCCACAATCATGGATAAAGGAGGCATTTATATGGCAGCTTCCAACAGTGAGATATGCATAAAATGGCTCACAACATAATAAATTGGTGTATTATTTAATGCAAAACACTGAAAGGGAGAGGTTGGGGGAAGAAAGCAATATTGTTGCTGTGTGAAACGGCCAGTTGTAGCTACATTAGCCATGCATCTCAACTGGCACTCCTCAACTGCGAACCTGCACACCGCAGTCTCTTGGAATTGCAACACTGAATTTTTTAAATGATCTTCACTTCAACTATGTCTGACATTATGAAATTACACTCAGGTTCTTACACACCTCTACACAAATCAATCAATGTGGTGCTTAAAAGGTGTGTGTGTGTGTGTGTGTGTGTGTGTGTAAAGGGTGTCTGTGTCGTAGAATGGTGAAAAAGTCTTTAGGCAATATGCAGAAAAAGACTGGAATATTTTTTTTCTTGCTGTGATTTGTTTGTGCGAGTTGGAATAGGGAATATGGTGTGGTACTTTACCCTTTCCCTACCTGCCAATTTCCTGCTCCAGATCTCTCCCCAAGAATCTTTTACTATCAAAACTCCAAGTCTGTGTTTATGCTTGGAGACCCCATTGCAGAGGCTAATGGGGAAAAGTTTGGAGTGGGGAAAACAGTGGGTGATAAAAGAGTTAAGCACCTTCTCCACTTTTTGATCAGCTTCAATTTGGCTGGAGAAAGCTAACTTTCTTGTGAAGCTCTCTCCTACTCCATATCTATTGTTAACAATGTGCAGTTTGTCCCTTTGCGGCAAGGAAAGAAATGGATTGTCTCAAGGAGGATGTCTTTTACAAACGCAAATAATACTTAAATATGCATTTGGTTTTTAGGCTCAGAGAAGAACCTGTGGAGTCATGACACATGTTTATTCAAAAGCCCATGTATAATGCAAGAGTATGAGCTCTTTTTGACTTGCAGATAAAGGCAGAGCAGCAAAGCAAAGCATGAACATTCATTGCATTATTCTACACATTTAGTTTGATAGACTGGCCCAGACCATTCAGTCATTGCTATAGGGAGAGAGAAAGCCCCTGTAATGGATTTTATGATGATGTGATGACAGCAAGGAGGAGACACATTAGGTGCAGATTGCCTAAACCGTGGTGCTGTCATGTAATATGTACAAACATTCTAACTGTCTTGGGGAAAGTTCACAGTAATAGCTTGCAGCTTCAGTTTGGCTGGAGAAAGCTCTTGTCCATCCTAGGGCTGGACAGGAGGGCCTAGGTGGGGAGATTGCAGTTTAGAAAGCTGAATGTGGAGAGTTTCAGGAGGCAGATGGGCTAAGGAGTAGACGGTAAGCCTAGGGTCCAGATGGGGCTGAGCTGAAGAAGGGAAGGAACTGAACCGAAAAAACAAGAACCTCAGAAGAGAGTAGGGGGGAGAAGATGAAGCCTGCAAAAAAGTCAGGGAACTGGGGAAGCAACTGTAGAAAAACATTCCAAGGCCTAAATATAGAGCTATGGGGAGGGCAGGGGGAGATGGAGGGAAGGGAGAGATGAATCCGCTGGCCAGGCTCTATAATGTAAAGAACACATATATATCTTGGAGAATGGCAGTGGTAGAACATCTTACATGCAGAAAGCGTCAGGTTCAATCCCTGGCATTGCCAGGGAAGGCTGGGAGAGTTTTGTACTTGAAACCATGAAGAGCTACTCCCAATTAGTGTATTATTTATATATTTCATTAAAAAATTATCCACTGCTTGATTGTAAAAACAACAACAACCTCAAAGCAGTTTAGCATAGATTGGCCAATAAACTTTATACTGTTTCTTACTATTTGTTCAAAAGGGAGGTCTCTGGAACCTCTGAAGACAGGATTATTATACAAAGAGAGCTGTCAAGATTGTTCCAAAGACAAAATAGGAACTTCCCTTACGTACTGCCCTGATTGCAGGAATGGTAGCAGACATGTGAGACAGACTGATAATATCGCACAACAATAAATACATTGCACTTTCCATTAGGGCTCAAATCTCTTCCTTCTATACGTTACTTTAGCATTTCCTACAACAGCTCTGTAAGGCAGGCAAGTATTATTATGCCCATATTAGAGATGGAAAGATAAGGAAGTTGAGAATGAGGACCGAACTACAGGTGTGCCAGTCTTGCTATTCATGCAGTTGCCCCATTCACAAATAAAACAGGGCTGTCTTCCTTTTCACAGTAAATAAATCATGCAGGAGAGGGATGTCTGTTACTCCATATTTCTACCTTTCTGAAGAGTAAGCTATGAATGGAAGAAAGTGGCTGGCGCAGTGAACTAAGGGAAGGGAACGTGTGAAGAAAGGGTATTCACTACCCATCTCCTTTGGAGAAGAGCTATAGCTCAGTGGTGGGTCACATGTTTTGCATGTGTAAGGTTCAAGGTTGAGTCCCTGGCATCTCCAGGAAAGGCTGAAACCATGGAAAGCCATCGCTAATTGGTCTATAGACAGTATTGAGCTAGAAGGGAAGCGGGTGGTGCTGTGGTCTAAACCACTGAGCCTCTTGGGCTTGCTGATCGGAAGGTCGGCGGTTCAATCCCTGCGACAGGATGAGCTTCCGTTGCTCTGTCCCAGCTTCTGCCAACCTAGCAGTTCGAAAGCACACCAGTGCAAGTAGATCAGGGGTCAGCAAACTTTTTCAGCAGGGGGCCGGTCCACTGTCCCTCAGACCTTGTGGGGGGCCGGACTATATATATATATATATATATATATATATTTTTGGGGGGGGGGAATGAACAAATTCCCACAAATAACCCAGAGGTGCATTTTAAATAAAAGGACACAGCATTTTATGCAAGAGCACCAGGCAGGCCCAACAAATAACCCAGAGATGCATTTTAAATAAAAGGACACATTCTACTCAGGTAAGCCATCCCCCCCCATGACTCTCCCCTCCCTTCTCCACAGCACCGGATGAGCCCCGGTGGCTGCTTACCTGTGTCTTGAGAGTGGAAGGGGCTGGCAGCAGGGGGACGATGAGCAGCGCATGAAAGGGCTCCAGAGAGGGGCTGGCAGCAACAAAGCCCAAATTGAGCCTGCTTACAATGGCAGCCGCTCGAGCGCTAACGCTGCTGTTGCTGGCACCAACAAAGCCTAGTCCCCTTCCTCTTGGCTCTAGGTAGGGCAGGGAGAAGCCAGGAGGAGGGAGGAAGGAGGCGCTGCTGAACGCATGTGCTGGCACAGCCTGAACAATCAGCTCCACGCCAATCCACACGGTGATCCATGTGGCCTTAGTCTGCCTGCCCATGGAGTAGATAAATAGGTACCGCTGCAGCAGGAAGGTACACGGTGTTTCTGTGCACTCTGGATTCCCTTATGGTGTTCCGTTGCGCCAGAAGTGGTTTAGTCATACTGGCCACATGACCTAGAAAGCTGTCTGCAGACAAATGCTGGCTCCCTCGTCCTGAAAGTGAGATAAGCGCCACAACCCCATAGTCGCCTTTGACTGGACTTAACCATCCAGGGGGTCCTTTCCCTCTTTCCCCTAACTGAGCTAGATGGGCCAAATGATCAGTCTTAGTGTAAGGCAACTTCTTATATTCTACTCTTAAAGGAAGACCTCCCCCGGCCCTCTTCATGCTATTTGTGTGAACATTGCAAACACATAAAAATAAAGCTGTGTCTGCCAGATTGTCCTATCTAGCTTGCTTCTGAGTTGGCAGCTTAAGCTACTCCCTTTGTCTCATCCAAGTTGGTGGCCATTACTGCCTCCTTATGGCAGTGAGTTCCACAGTTAA